TAAAAAGTGACTTTTAGAATAAATGTAATGGGGGAGTTAACCCCAGATTCTAAAAAGTGACTTTTAGAATAAATGTAATTTTTATAATAAATTACAATATACAGGATCTCTGGGAGAATTTTCTTGTTTTCTCTAGGAGTTCTTAGACACCAAACACAAAGTCATTTGTCAATAGAGCAAATTTCTATGTTTCTGAGTATGGAAGGAGGTAAGAGAGGAGGAGAAAGGCTTGACAATAACCTTTGTGATTGCTTTGAAACCAATTAATTATGAAATAAAACACAAGGTAAACCATAAAGTTACCTCAGTTATGTCAATTTCTTCAATTGGCCTGCACTCAGGTTGCTATGAAATAAAACACAATAAACAATGTCATATCATGATTTATCTACCTAATAAAGCTGAATAACTCTACAACTATTTTTACCTTAATTTTACATTTAGTAGGCACTCAGTAAATGCGGTTGGCTGACAATATAAAAGTCAAAGCATGTTCACGGACTGGAGGACTCAACAGTAAGAATTTCAACTGTCTCAAAAAGACATAATATGATTCCTGTAAAAATTCCAGATAATTTTTTAAAGACATAAGCAAGTTGATTCTAAAATTTGTACAGGAAAATACAAGCCTTAGAAGAGCTAAAACAATCTTGGCAATGAAGAGAAAAGTAAAGTGAGAGGAGTCGTCAATCTGCCCTACTTCAAGAATTAGTGTATAGATACAGTGTGGTATTGGTGGAGAATTTGACTTACTAACCAACAGAACAGAATATGGAACTCAGAAATAGGCCCACCTAAAAAAATGTGCAATTGATTTTTGCCAATGTGTAAGAGCAATACAATGGAGAAAGTATAGTTTTTTTCAAAAAATGATGCTCCAACATTCCGCCATTACATTCATAGGCAAAAAAAGAAAAGGAACCTAACATCTTACAAAAAGGAACCTAACAACTTATAAAACATTAGCTAAAAATACATCACAAACATAAATCTTTCAGGAAAAAAAAATCAAAGGATAAAATCTCCAGAATTGAAGATTAGGCAAAATGTTCTTACACTTGACAGAAAAAGCAAGATCCTCGAAAGGAGGAGGGAGGCAAAACAACAACAAATCAGCAAATCTAACCCCATCAAAGTGTTTTCAATTTTGCCTTTTAAAAGATCCTGTGAAACGCCACAAAATTAGAAATTAATAACAAGAGAATAAAGGAGAAAAGATCACGCATTTGGAAGCTGAACAACAACTTGCTTGAACATGACTGGGTACAAGAAGAAATAAAAAATGAAATAAAAAAGTTTCTTGAAACAAATGACAATGAAGACACTACTTACCAAAACCTCTGGGAAACAGCCAAAGCC